AGACCAAATCACTACAAGTTATTACAGAAGTGGTCGGACGATGACAACAAGGATCAAAACCCAAGCGACAAAAAAACAAAGGCTGCTAGTCTTACCCAGGATTCTTGCTTCTGGGCCCATGTAGAGGAGGCCTTGATTTCACTTACAGACTTGAAGATTAAGGACACGCATAACATTGAAACCGACCTCAAATAGTTTGAGGTATATCTTATGGATGCAATCAAAGATTTCTCGTTGTCACCGGATGTTTTCGTGGCAGAAAGCAGTTTGATGAAGTGGTGGAGTGATTAGTAGGTATTTAGACATGCATACAAAAGACAACAAGTATTGGCTTTATCTCATAAACCATGTCTCAAAACCTAAGTTCCCCTTCCTATTTCACTTACAGGTATGTAATTATTTATTTGTTTTACTTTTTTTTTTTTTTAATTTGTATTTCAAAATTAACATTTACAATTTTTTTTTACTAGGCCCTTTTAGTTGGTTTAGCATCTGTGTTGGTGTACATCTCAACATCTCATAGAACAGAAAACCGTGAACTTCTTCCATTACATCAACTCATGAATTGGTCAATTGCTGGTAACATTTTGCTTACCTTGTTTATTACTAGAGAGTAAATTACACTTTTGGTCCCTGAATATAGCTCATTTTTGCATTTTTGGTCCAAAAAGTTCTCTTGCGAATTTGGTCCTCGTTTTGAAGTTTCCTAACGATTTTGGTCCCTTTGTCGTCTAAAAAAATCACCATTTCTCCCTTGGACCAAAACTGTATTAAAACAGTATACCATAGGGGCCAGATTTGTAATTTTCTCATATTTTTGTATATTAAGGTTTATACCGTTTTACATGTGCATATTAGTTTTTAAATTTATAACATTTTTAGTGTATATTGTAAATTGAATCGTTTGTTAATATATTAATATAAAATTATTTACACTACAATTATTATTAATTTAAGAAAAAAATCAAACACACATATAAAATGCTATAAAGCATGATTAAAAGATAAGAGAAAATTATATATTTGGTCCCTGTGGTATACTTATACGACACTGAGACCAGAGTCTGTAGGAAACTCCAAAATTAAGGACCAAATTTGCAAGAGAAATTCTTTTGTGACCAAAACTGCAAAAATCAGCTATACTTAGGGACCAAAAGTGTAATTTACTCATTTATTGTTTTTGCTTAGGTTTATCCATGGTGCTCCCACTATTCTCTGCAACCGACCTACTCTCTCGGCTTACTTCCATATTCCTTGGTTTTGCACCTCCTTTCCTATTATTATCCATTGGGTATTTATTTATTTAAATTAATATTTTTATTTAAAAAAAAAAAAAAAATCTTGTAAATGCATAAAATTATGACATTCAAAAAATAAAACCATGTAACACAGATATGAAGCTGTATTCTATGGGGCTCTTGGCCTTGCACTTTTTGGATGGATACTTTTCGAAAACACTCTTCTCTATGTCAAAAAGTCAAACAAATCTTTGACTTCCTTTGAAGCTGAAAATGAAAACATACTTCTTGAGGAAGGTGATAGATGCTTAAAATTATCTGACATGAGAATCCCAATAGTTTTTGTAAGTAAAAATATTTAGGGATTTTCTTTTTCAATTTCATTTAACGATTTAAGTTTTAAACATCTCTAATATTTTCATTTTCTTTTTAAAAAACTTTCTAGATGGTGTTCTTCAATATAGCATTTTTTGGAACCGGTAATTTTGCAAGTATTGCAAGTTTCGAGATTTCGTCTGTTTATCGATTTATCACAATATTCAGTGTAAGTAAAAGATTTACATAACTTTTTCAATATATAATATTGTAATTTTTTTAACAAAATTAATCTGTGTCACAATCACAGCCGTTTCTCATGGCTGCCTTGCTTATTTTCAAATTGTTCATCCCATTCATGCTTGTCATGTAAGTTTATCAACTGATTTTGAATATGTTTTAATTTATTTTAATGGATTTTGATTTTTTTTTTTTTTTGACTTTGAATGCAGATGTGCATTTAGTGCAATAACTAAATTAGCGAGAGTTCCACGGTTGGGATGTTACTTTCTTGTTATTTTATGCTCGGATGTTATGACAATTCACTTCTTCTTCTTGGTATGAATACTTAAAGTTAAAATCCTTATTATAATGCTTTGTAAAATTTATTTAATTATAGCATTGTACTTTTGATTTTCAATCTGGTTAGGACTTTTTATTTTGTAAAAACAACTCAATTATAGCAGTGAAAATTGCTTTGAATTAATATGACATTGCTATAATTCGATGGATGCTATAATAAATAAATTAATAAAAGTATATAGCTATTTCTTGTATTTAACCTTTTTTCACTCGATGTGTAATACAACAGGTGAAAATACGGGAAGCTGGATGGAAATTGGCAACAGTATTAGCCACTTTGGAATTGTGAGTGCTCAAGTCGTTTTTGTTCTCTTGCTTTTTGCCCTTACAAATATATACACAAAAGATATCCAAACTCGATCAACAAAACAAGTTTCTCAAAAAACTATGTAGTTTTTGTTCAATCTTTTATAGGATTCCCCTTTGTTATATCATTTATGAGACTTTGTAAAAGGGTGTTTTTGACATTTTGCCCATTAGTTATTACTTTATGAATGATTGTTTTTTATAGGAATGATATGGTAGCACGACAATTTTGGAGGGTTATTTGATTATAACTTGTAACATAGACTCTTAAATGTTGATATCGGAAATACGTTATTTGAGGTAAAATCAAAGTAAAGATGTGTATTTTTTATTTAACGAGTAATTTGCTATATTTTTTTTATTTATTTCTAAGAAATTTGCCAATGGATTTCCTTGGTATGGTACGTAGAGAAAGAAGTCTATATTAAAATCATGATTGGTCACTTCTAAGAAATTGCCCATCGATTCCTAAGAAGAAAAAGGTCAAGAAATAATTTAAAAGAGGACAATAATTTGTATCTATACAAATGATTTTAACACAACATTTCCTAGAAATTACCACCAATGGATCAATCCTATTTTATAATCATGAACACAACAAGTTTTTTTAAAGAAAATTTCCGTGCAATGTTACCAACATACAAAATATAAAAAAAAAATTAAAGAAATTTATTTTAAGATCTATTAATATCATATAATATGATTTAGACTCTTTGGAAAATTGTAGAATGTGAATAAGAGAATAATATAATAAAGAGAAAGACATGAAGAGTTGCTAGTTCGTAGATGTTGAAATATGATTTGCCAAAACAGCTAATCTTAGTATGTATAATTGGCATTTATATAGCCAATCACCATATAATATAAAAGAGGCTTTCTTGCTCTTCTGTCAAGAGGCCACGAGAGTCGAGTTTTTCACATCCTCATCCCTTGGTAAAGTCGAGTTTTATGCTCGGGTTTTGTATCGGGTCCGGGGCAGGGAGTGAGTTCTCCTCATCCCGACTTGCCCCGCCCCGATTATATATATATATATATATATATATATATATATATATATATATATATATATATATCCTTTGATGTTAATTGCACTACTTAGTGTGGACAATCGTTTTAGTTTTTAAAAATATGGTGCGAATGATATTTTTTATTTTTTGACGTATTACACTAAACTTAAATCAAATAATCTTTTTAGTTATTAATAGTTTTTTTTAATGTTTTTATGTATTATATTAAACTTAAATCAAATAATTTTTAATATAACGTCCAATTTATTTTATTAAAGTGATGTATCGTATTTTTAATTTAAAAAGGAGGCTAGCGCATGTGTTTTTTATAAGAAATCGAGTACCTTAAAATGGAATAAAGAGTTCGTTATGAATTGTTATAAACCCAATAAGATACCCGAAACCCGATGGAACACCCTGATAAGAAACCTGAAAAATATCGGGACGGGTTTAGGAAACTATGCCCCGCCCTGAACCTGCCCTGTTACCATTCCTAAAATGACTGCCTTGATTTTGATAGTAGTAAAGGGAAAACTTATGAGCGGTTCAACAAAATGACACGCTATTACGTCTCATCCTTTTGCGCGACAACTGTTGTAGATAACTACATTTCAATTTCATAAAATATTCTCGTTTTTTTTTAATGTTTTTTTTTTCAAATTGTTTTTTAGTGTTTAAATATAAAGTGATTACTATGATACCACTTTGAAGGTGGTTTTAACTTTTTATTGCCTTTATTATGATTTTCTTCAAGAAAAATGATGGTATAAAAATCAAATCACTTCTATTTATGTAGATGAATAAAAAATATAAATAAAATTATCACGTTCCATATATAAAAGGGAACCATCAAGCTTTGCAACTGCAATAGAGATGGGAATCTAATTAGTTTTTTTTTTTATATATAATATTTTTTATTTTTTTATTTTGTGATCTTTTAGGTCCAAACCAAAACCCAAATCAAATCAAATTATAGGCTACCCAAACCAAACCAAATATCCAATTACAATTCAATTTGGTTTGGTTTCAAAACCAAAGAAACCAAATTTAAAATTAAAAGTAAAATCTAAATTATCATATTTCCAAACATAAAATTTACTTTTCCAATTTTCCATAATAGTTAAGTATACAAAATTAAAATACATACACATGAACAACAAAGTATATTAAATCAAAATGCTACACTGTAAGAAAAAAAGTGACCAAATTTGATATTTAGCCTAATTTTAACGTAATGCGTATTCGCCGATTCAGAAATCCAAGATCAAGTGTACGAAGTATCTGTTCTTATTGGTTAAATTAAAATCTTAATTTCTTTTTTCAGCTTATGAATGATCCATTAATCGTCACCGGACAAGGTCTGGGTGGATACCTCGACATTCTTTTTACAATACTCCATCAACATGCGGTAGATTTGGAAGAATCCAACGGTTCAAAATCCGCGAAACGCCCCATTTGCATAACTTTCGGTGCACCCCTTACCACTCCGACGTGCTATCTCTGAACGCCCACAATGGAATTCATGTTTTTCTGAATGTGGTCGCAAATTAAGATGGATCCTCTCGCGAGTTTTTTCTCATCAAATTCTCTATACAAGCCTTTTGGTACTTTCCTGTTTTGCACAGACTCAGGTGGGCACACCGCTTTTGAAGATGAGATCCTAATCCTTGAAGTGTTAGACGCCATGGCGTCATCCAATCCTAGAAGCTTTCAATTGCTTGATTATAGGAACGAATTGGGTTCGATCAGAAGGAAGATATTGTATCGTGGGGATTCTATATTTGGTGAATGGTACTCGAATCCATTGATGGCTGGGGTCGTGACGCAATTTCAGGACATCAACGTCTTGGATGATATCTCGCATGGTCTGATTGCCAGAAGTGAAAATATATGATAAAAAACAAGAGGAAGGTTAACGCATGCATATGAGCCCACGAAGAAGCTAAACGATATGAAGATCAGTTTGACATACATGGAATGGTACATGAAGACCCGAAGATCGGAAGGAGGTTATTACGATATCTTCAAGCAGAACGGAAAAACCAAAAATGAAATCGAGAGCCGAACAAGAATCATCATGTAACAACGCAAATTTTCAAACAAATTTTTCATTTCAAACAAATAGAGTATTTTTATTCAAACTAAATATAATTATTCCAGGTGTTAAGTCGAAATACAAATCATAGAATTCCCAAGATCTCAAAACATCAATCAGTGTGTACGCATCACGCCGGCGCCTTCCCACGGTTCTCGCTAGTACCTGAAACACATACATAACAACTGTAAGCATAAATGCTTAGTGAGTTCCCCAATATACAACTTACACATATACGCCTTTCCAGGTCCTGACCTTCCGGTCCACAACACAACGCCTTCCGGCCCATAACATAATCGCCTTCCGGCCCATAACATATTGCCTTCCGGCCCATATAAACATACACAGCACGCATAACAATTAACTTACCACATACAGCACATATATCACATATCATATCCGACCTTCCGGTCACACAGTCAAACCCTTCCGAGTACAGTATAGTGAGAAGACTCACCTCGTGGATACTGAAAGCTAGCAACTCTTGAAATCACTCGTACTCGATCCGCCGAGCTACAAACTCCCTATAATATCATATATCCCTTATTAACACTTTTATCTTCCAAGTTAACTGACCCTAAGAAAATCACACATAGGTCAACTCTGGTCAACGGTCCCCGGTCAACTCGACCGGACTCGGCGAGTCTAGTCGTCCTCCAATCCTCTAAGATTCCCTTCTACTCGTCGAGTATCCTCCTTGACCCGACGAGTTACTCCTGGAAGAATCGCGGGGCCACCCTGACTCCACTCGCCGAGTCTGAAGAACAGCTCGACGAGTCCCAGTTATTCTCCAAGCTACTCGCCGAGTCTGTTCATCGGACTCGGCGAGTCCATGCCATGCAGTCGATCAAACTGTTTCCTAAGGTCAGAATTGTTCCGACCATTCATAGGTCTGGTCCTCCTAGACTGGTCCATCACGTAAGGTCTTCATTTAGGTGTTCATGCTACACCCCAAGATTTATAATTTACATGTTGACCTAAGGCATAAGGATTTCAATCCAAAACCTTCATCAATTCCCGGAATGCACAGACATGGGACATTCTGGACCTCCAAAGGTCCCAACACGGGGTTACAATCGTTTGGGGGACTAGGGTAACATTCAATCTATCCACAAAAGGGTTCCATAAACCCTAATCCTCTAAACACATCACCATAGCAGAGCATACTCGAATTCTTACCTGGATGATGTACTCTCTGTGTCCCCAATCCTCAGAACGTGATTCCCTTGCTGTTCCTTTAGCCAAGCCCTTCTCTTCCTTGCACACAACTCCTTCAAAATCACCAGTGGCCTTTAACCTTGCTCTAGATGCACACAATCGATTTAGGGTTCTTCTCAGAAGGCTAAAACGAACAATGACGGCCAATAAGTCCCTTTTATACATCCCAAATCTGAACGGCTAGGGTTTTCGCTAAACAGGTCTGCGATCCTACTCGGCGAGTCTGGCTCCAACTCGCCGAGTCCCCTCTTAAAACACCCCAAAAACACAATTTAAACAATACCTGAGATTCCGGGCTGTTACAATTCTCCCACACTAGGATTAGACTTCGCCCTCGAAGTCTCGCTCTGAAAATAGTTCCGGATGCTGCTCCCGTATCTCACGTTCCGGCTCACAAGTCATTTCCGATCCTTTCCGGTGTTGCCACTGAACCAACACCAGAGGTACCTCCTTGTTCCTCAGAACTTTGATCTTCCGATCCCTGATGGCCACTGGTCTCTCAGCATAATTCAGACTCGCATCCACCTGAATATCCTCTAATGGGACCACTGCCGACTCATCGGCTATGCACTTCCTCAATTGTGACACATGAAAAGTGTCATGGATTTGTCCCAACTCTGCTGGCAATTCCAAACGATAGGCTACCCGGCCTATCCTTGCGATCACGCGAAATGGCCCAATATACCGGGGTCCCAGCTTGCCCCTCTTCCTACAGGGCCACCAATACTCCTTCCTCAAATCTAAATACATCTTCGTAGCACCGGGATGGATTGAGAATTTCGATCTATGAGCCTCTTCCATCAAAGTAATACGCGTACCGCCCACAAACGGTACCCAAATCCGACCCTGAAACGTCAGAAGTCCCCGTCCATCCTTAACGAACTCTGAAATTAACCCAACAACCCGCTCTTTCTTCTGCATCTCTGGTCTCACAGCCTCGGCCTGTGCCCCACGAATAGCATCCAATACTGGAGTCATCACAGTCAGTCTCAAACATACATCTCGCAATGGGGTGCTCTCCACCCTGCAGCTCAATGCATCGGCTACCACATTAGCCTTGCCCGGGTGGTACATGATCTCACAATCATAATCCTTGACCACATCCAACCACCTCCTCTAACGCATATTTAGGTTGGGCTGATCCATCAAATACTTCAAGCTCTTATGGTCCGTGTATATCGTACATCGAACCCCATACAGGTAGTGACGCCAAATCTTGAGAGCGAACACTACTGCCCCCAACTCTAAATCATGCGTGGGATATCTCGCCTCATGAGGCTTCAGCTGCCTCGATGCATAAGCTATCACATGACCTCTCTGCATCAATACTGCACCCAGTCCCGAAATCGATGCGTCGCAATATACAACAAAATCTTCCATCCCTTCCGGGAGAGCTAATACCGGGGCTTCGCACAGTCTCTGGCGAAGTGTCTCAAAGGAAGTCTGTTGCTCGGGTCCCCATGAGAATGCAACACCCTTCCGGGTCAATCTGGTGAGCGGCACTGCGATCTTGGAGAAGTCCTTAATAAATCTCCGATAGTACCCTGCCAACCCAAGGAAACTCCTGATCTCAAAGGGTGACTTCGGCACCTCCCAACTCATCACAGCCTCAACCTTGGCCGGATCGACCAATATCCCTTCCTGATTAACAATATGTCCTAGAAATTGGACCTCCCGTAACCAGAAGTCACATTTGGAGAGCTTTGCATAAAGCTTCTCCGACCTCAATACCTCCAGGACCTCCCTCAAATGCTCCTCATGCTGCTCTCTAGATCTCGAAAACACTAGGATGTCGTCGATAAATACAATCACTGACCGATCCAACATCGGCCTACATACCCTGTTCATGAGATCCATGAACACAGCCGGGGGATTGGTGAGCCCGAAAGGCATCACCACAAACTCATAATGCCCATATCGCGTCCTAAACGCTGTCTTCTGGACGTCCTCATCCCGCACTCTCACCTGATGGTACCCTGACCTCAGATCGATCTTGGAAAACCAAGATGCTCCTTGCAACTGATCGAATAAATCATCGATCCTCGGTAACGGGTAACGGTTCTTGACCGTCAACTTGTTCAACTCTCGGTAATCAGTGCACATCCGGTGCGAACCATCCTTCTTCTTGACGAACAGAATAGGTGCTCCCCACGGCGAGCTGCTCGGTCGAATGAATCCCTTCCCCAGCAACTCCTGGAGCTGCGAGGACAACTCTTGCATCTCTGGAGGTGCAAGACGATAAGGCACCTTCGCCATAGGCGCGGCCCCCGGAATCAGATCGATACCAAACTCTACTTGCCTCGCAGGAGGTACTCCCGGCAGCTCCTCGGGAAAAACATCTGGAAACTTACGCACCACTGGGACCTCCTCCACTGACCTCGGTCTCTCGGAAGCCTCCCGCGTATCCATCACATACGCCACAAAACCCTTACATCCCTGCTGTAGACATTGCCTCGCCCTAGCGGCCGAACAAAAAGCTGATCCCGAACGGGTACCCTCGCCGTACACCGTAAGAACTCCCCCACTAGGGTCTCGTATAGTCACCAGCTAACGCTCACAGTCGATGACACCGCTGAATCGACTCAACCAGTCCATGCCCACGATGACACAGACATCACCCATCGCAATAGGAATTAGGTCAATTGGAAACTCAACCCCGAAAATCTCTAGCACGCATCCCCGAAGAACCTCCGTGGCACAAATCACTCTCTCGGCCGCTATAGAAACTCTCAGAGGCCGACTTAATGACTCACGACTAATGCTGATATGCTGACTAAAAGCTAAGGATACAAAGGACCTACTCGCACCCGAGTCAAATAACACTAGAGCAGGCACAGAGTTCACAAGAAAAGTACCTACACATATAATAACATAAGCATAACATTTCGACTTTAAATAAATACGTGAATTACAGCATATCTGCCACAACATCGGGCGCAGCGCGGACCTCCTCCGCAGTTAGCTGAAAGGCTCTCCCGCGAGCCCTCGGGGCGGTCGACCTTCGCCGGTCGAGTCTTAGTAGTCCTGGCAGTAGGTGTAGATCCCTGACGAAGCTGAGGGCACTCGGCCTTCCGATGGCCTGTCTGGTTGCAATGAAAGCAAACCATAAACCCCTTAGGGCAATCCCTGGCGATGTGTCCCTCCTTTCCACACTTGTAGCAAACACCAGCTCGACACGCCCCATCGTGACCCTTGCCGCACTTTCCGCAAGTGCGGCCCTTCGGACCTCCCGTCCTCGAATCGGCGGACTTGGTCCGCTTGGCTGCCGGCTGAGACTGAGCCGGTCGCCGGTCCACCTGCTGAGACTCGGCCTCCTCCCTGGCCTGGGTCTCCAACTCGATCTCGCGCTTCCTGGCATTCGCCTGAAGCTCAGCAAAAGTATGATAGGTGGAGTTCGACACAAACTCCCGGATATCCCTCCTCAAAACACCCAAGTACCGGCTCATCCGCGACTGCTCTGTGGACACCAGCTCGGGGCAGAACATCGCCCTCTCATGAAACTTCCGCGTGACCACCGCAACCGAATCAGTACCCTGCTTAAGGGTTAAGAACTCCTGAACCAATCGTTCCCTCTCCACTGG